TTCCTATTACTAGGATCTCTGAATATCCTCTTGATGAATCTCCTATGTACTTCACCTCTCCTCCAAACTGTTTTATTCCTTCCTTGTTGTGATTGAATCTAATGGACCAGTGTCTCTACTACTGCTCTGTGGCCTTCTTAAAGAGAGGCTACTTCTTAGTCTTATAAGCAAGTCCCTCTCACCGTCACATGAGATGATTTCACATATAATTTCTCATATGTTCTTCTGACTTACATTCTTAAAGGATCTTACAAATCTGAGTACCACATTTTTGATCAAGGAGATTTAGTCCTTCCACCAGTATCTGGAAATACAGTTAACTTTAGATTTTTTTCAGAAATTTTCATGATTTATATGAGGTTGGGTATTGTTTCATGAGTTAAATTTCTGATAGGACTTAATTTGGAATTATAGCAATTTTTGCTAAATCTTTTAAATTAGTAGTCAATCATCTGAGCATTAGTTGATTAGCTACACTGCAGGCACCGAAATTGTTTTATTGATTGATTCAGTCATTTATTAACTCACTTCTATATTAAGACCTTACTACACTGTGAAATGCCTTCAAGAATCAATAAAGATATAGGCTCTTTTTTCCAGGAGAAAGAAGACATGAACAAGAACACACATTATAATAATATCACAAAATATGACACAGGAAAAGTTCAGGATTTATTTGTTTGTTTGTTTTTGGTTTTTCTCCGGTACCGGGAACCGAACTCACGACCTTGCGCTTGCCAGGCAGGCGCTTTTGCCGCTGAGCTAAATCCCCAGCCCCTTTTTCGTTTTTTTTTTGTTTGTTTGTTTGTTTGTTTGTTTGTTTGTTTTTGGAAAGTTCAGGATTTAATGATAGCAGTGGGAGAAATTTTAGGTGGATCAGCTAAGAATGGAAGGTTTGAGTAAAAACAAATCAGAGAATCAGATCAAAGAAAATTTTATCAGCTTTTTTCTATATACATGTATCAACGATTGACAACCAAGTAGCTCTTATATTCTGGGGGAGTGAATATGTGAAAATGTGTTTAATTTTCAACTAAATAGTTCCAGTTCTGGCTGAGAAAAATCTGACATCCTAGCCGTGAGCTCTCATACATTATTTCTGCTGCTGACTTGTGATGCTAAGGAAGATGCCCCCAAGTCAGCAGCCTGTGGATTCAAAGCACACTGGCTTTCTGTTTCTTGTTAGGAGTCTTTGGAGACACAGAGAGCTGTTTATTGGTCTGAAAACAGAACACTAGAGGCTACGAGCTTTGATCCAAGTTGTCTTCTCCTCTTGAAGGTTCACAGATATTTTCCAGGTTTTCACATTTTTTTCTTATTCAGAATTTATTGTGCAAAGCCTATCTATTTTCCAGTGAATATTGCTTTTGTTTCCATTGCTGTTTTAAACATATCTAGCATTTCCTAATTCTCGTTTTATTTTCAAATTTTAAAAAGCTGCCAAAAGATGTTATAGATACTTGAATCACTGCGTAAGTTACCAGTCACAGAGACATTGTTCCGCTTTTGATTTCAAAGCAATCACTTGAGTAAGCCTTTCATTTCAAACATGAGTCAGCATTTATCAAAGCAAAGTTTAAACCACTACTTTAGATTCTAAGTGACAGAAAATTTCTAAATAGTGCAGTTTGTTCATAGTTTTGGGTATCTCTGATTTACTTGGCTTTGTCAGACAATAGAGGCTTTGGTTTACTTATATTTTTAACATTCCTTAAAATAAATCAAGGGACATTTCCACTTTGGATATGAAGTAGTAGAGTGAAAGAAATGAACCACCAAGTGCTGAGTATTTGGGGAGTAGGCAAGGGGCTCTGTGCAGGACTACACTTGTTACTGCTTGCTTAGTTGCTAATCATAGAAACTGCCTCTGGCTAGTTTAAAGGAGAAAAAGTGGTTCTTAGCATATTGGAAGATCTCTTTGAGTATCTCTTAGAATCCAAGCCAAAGGCAGAGTAGTTAAAGTGACTTACTTTTCACAGGAAAACCCAGTTAGGGTCAGGTTCTCACCTACAGACCACTCAAGTTAGAGCAGTAGAACAATACTAGTTTAGCTGTTTGCATGTGGGTAATCACTTTGACAAAATGGAAACTCATGATCATTTACTCAAAGAAGCTTTAAAAATGATGAGAACGAAACAAAATTCATCTAACACTACTAGATGATGCTAAAAAGACTAATCTAAGGCTAATTTGAGTTAGCATTGAGAAGATGGTACACATGGAATAAAAATCTCTTTACAGAAATCATAGCAGAAAACTTCCAAAGTATGAGGAAAGAACACAGCATATAGGAAATGAGGCTTACAGAACACCAAGTAACTACAATGAAAACAAACACTCCCCCAAAAGAAGCTCCCCATGGCATACCATCATCAAAATCCCAAAAGTCTAACACAAGAGGTGAATCTTAAAAGCTGTTAAAGAAAAGCAAACAATCACATATACATGAAAATTTATTAGGATTACAGCAGACTTTTCAGCAAACTTTAAAGATCAGGGGCAGAGCTTGGAGGGAAGTACTTCAAACTCTAAAAGAAAACAACTTCAACCCAGACTAATATACCCTGCAAAACTGCATTTTAAAACTGATGGTGAAACAGGGACATTCCAAGACACAGAACATCTTAAGAGATACATGAACACCAAATCAGTACTTCAAAAAATACTCAATAATATCTTAGACAGAAATAATGTAGCCAACAAAGCCAAGAAGTCAGATGGAATGAATATATCAAGTAAGGTAAATAGTTAAACAAAAAGAGAAAAATAATGGACTGTACTATAGAAAAAGAACAAATGATAGGAATAAATCAGAACATTTCATTAATAACTCTTAATGTAATATAGATATAGATTGGCAGAGTGGATCAAAAAAACCCCAGAATCCAATAGGTTATTGCACTCAAGAAACTCATCTAATCCAAAATGAAATGCAAAGACTAAAAATCAAAGGATGGAAAACAGTATTGCATGCCAGTATCTTAAAAGCAAGCAGGGATACCAATTTTATTCTCAAAGAAAACTTTAAGCTAAAACTGATCAAAAGAGGCATAGGTGGTCACTACATATTATAGGAACAATTCAACAGGAAAACAATTGTACATATATATGCACCAAATACCAGGGCACATGATTTCATACAACAAACTTTAATGGAAATAAAAGATCAAGTAAACACCAACACAATCGGATACTTTTTCATAGAGACTACTAGGTACCTACAAAGCATTACATAAAACTGCAAGTTCAAAGCTCTGGGGTTCAACTCCACCTCCTCTGTCATCATGAGCAAGAAGATACCTAATTTCTCCCATTAGTGAAGGTGAATATACCATCTCCTTTACAGGGTGTCTTAGTTACTTTTCTCAGTGCTGAGATGAAAAACTCGATGCCCGAAGTTAAGGGAAGAAAGGTTTATTTAGCTCCCAGTTTGTAGAGGTTTCAGTCCATAATTGGCTGGCTCTAAGGCAGGGTGGCATCACAGAGGAGAAACAGTTAATGACAGGCAGATGGTAGCAAAGCAAAAAGGGGCAAGACAAGCTTTTTTCTGCCCCTGATACTGTATCCAGGCTACCAGAATTAAGGTAGTGCCAAACTAATCCGTGGACTAATTTAGTCAGTAATCACCCACCCTTAATTCCAGCACTGCACCATGAATCAATTGCACACTCTAAATTCAGTCATCTCTGAAGAGGCTCCACTTATGACTGCATGAAGCTTTGGAGGTACATCTAGATAAGCCCTAACACAGAGTCACTCTGTCACTTAACAGAGTAATGAGATCATATGTAAAATACCTGGCACACAGCACATGTTCACTGTGGGAGAGAGAAACCTCTCCTATACACGCAGAAGTACAGCTTTTCTACCAAACATGCTAACTACAATAGAGACACAGTCAGAGAGTGGATTCATCATTCAAAGATTCCTAACTGCTCTGCTGCTAGTCTTTGAAAACAGTGCTTTATTGATCTATGCATGAAGGTAGAAAATTGTATGGAAAAGGGGCTAAGGAAACCCTACACTAGCCAAATAAAATTTTAGATGCAAAACATTTGACTATTTCCTTTTGTGACATGATGAATGAGTGTGTTCACAACTTTAGGGAAGAACTCCTACCTTTGTAGCAGCACATTACTTGATCCCATAGCTCTCCTAATGAATACTACATGAGGTGGTCTATATCTTTTAATTACCAGAGCAAAAACAAAATATGGCTCTCAATATGGAAATCTACAACTTAAACATCACTGAAACTGATTTTTAACTAATTCATTTTGGAAGAGTTAATGTACACAAATAATCAGAATTCTATGCTCTGATACTTTCCAGTTTTAAAACATCTCTGAAAAAAGCTCTACAACAATCCAAAGCAGTATATTATTTGGCCTGGTGGGTATTCCACAAATACTCATAGATTGATAGGTATTAATTTATCCCAAATAACTTGTTAACAGTTTATGTCAACAGTATAGTTGAGTCCATATATGGAAAAAGAAAAAAATCTTTGGGTTGTTAAAGATCAAAGAAAGGTATAAATTATATTCTTCTGTCATTGCCAGTGTTTCTCGATCATAGTTTCTCTGGTCTTAACTTCAGTGACCTTCATCCTTCACATTCATTGATCCTGAATAACTTGTAAAAATATTCTTTAATTTTATGACAAAGAAAGTCAAATGATTTTTAACTAATGGACTGATTATACCACTTGGTTAATGGCTTTTCTTGAACTAAAAACTCTTTTCCTTTTCACTATACTGTAATTAAATTCAACAGTCTGCTCATCTGAGCTTTTATTTAAATTTATTTAATTTTATTTTAAGAGAAAATTGAGTAGCTATTAATATGGAAAGGTTTTCAGTAAATATTGTGAATACTTAAAGAAAGGTATTTATAAACAAAGAATCATCAACAAGGATATAGAAGTTTGAGAATTGTTAAAAATGAATTAAGAGAACCAGGGGAAAAAAGACTTTAAAACAGAAAATAAATTAGCCAAGTAAGTTTTTGCAGCTCTTTTAATTACACTGAGAAATCCCAGAAAAGTACAAAGGTCATGAAAGTAGAAGCATTTCAGAAAATAAGACAAAACATTTGCATACATACATTTTATTGACATTTTGGTTTTGATGTTAAAAATACTCATGATTTTGCACTGACTCACTGCTCATGAATTAAGAACATTCTGACATAGTGGGAAATTTCTTATATCCTAATATAAGCTCATTCATGTAAATGGTTGAGCTATATTTTCTTTCTAAGGTTTGTGGTTCAATTCATAAGAAAAATGACTTCATTGATTCACAGAGCATTTGAAGAGCAGAACTAGGAAATAAGCACATACTGTATTACATATACCCCTGGAGCTGTAGTGGTGTATCAGATCAAAGTTGAATTAGTATTACAATAGTATTTTTATTTGTATTATTTTCAGTAGACTAATGAAAACATAGATCCAAATGCACAAAAAAGTTTCATGATATCAGAATAATTCTCTATCACAGCAGTATTTTATATTCAAGTTCATAAATAAGCAATGAAATCCACACTATTTCTATTGTTAAAATCAAATAATGCATGGTTACATTCCAGAATCTTATCAAGGATCGTCATGAAACAATCATAAAGATATTTATTCTTTTTGTCAACTACTATATAATAGGTCACCAGAGACTATAAAATTTACATAACTGATTTTTGTTAAGTGCATTTTTGATGGCTTTTGGATCGTATTATATTCTGTTGCTGCTATCCTATTAATACAATCATAGTAAAAGCAAAGTAGATAATAAAAGAAAATAAATTAGAACACTTGATAGCTCTAAATATTGGTCTGGCTTATCCTTGAGCTGGAAATCAATTCCCCAAAGTCTAGCGGAAAGCATCTTTGTAGATCACAGACTACAGTTAAGAGGTCTAATGAACGATGCAGTGCCAGTGTGCGTTAGCTTGTCACACTCTCTTTATTCAACATCAAGGGGCTCTGTTGCTATGAGAGCACTCAGCTGTTTCTGTGCGCAGGAGAGGAACAGCTCCAAACTGGACAGGCTTCTCTGTCGGAGGACTTGGTCAAGCTGTTGATTTGGAGGGGGGGAGAAAAATAGCAATTTAGTTCAAGGATAAGAAATATTATGTCACTAAAACCTCCAAAAAAACATTTTCCGATGAGATGATCTAATGTTTTCAGTTGAGTGATACTGGAGTCACTATTCTGGCCATCTAAGATGATCAGCATTACAATTTTATAATTGATGTTAATATTCGGCTACTGGAGAGATATTGTACATTTGAGCAGAGTGCTTTTAGGAAATATTAAATGCTGGTTCTTAACGAACATTCAGACCAAATATCCATGAAGATCATATAAATTTCACAGAGGTATAACAAATGAAAAACAGCATAATTACATTATCACAAGGTGTAACAGAACAAATAAGTGGGTAGATAATTTCCTAAAATTGTATAATGTTTTTGGGAAAGGTGAATTTTAAAAAAGAAAAATAGAATTTTTAAAAAGTCATTTTAATATACCTTGAAGCTTATTAGACCTGGTTCTCCTGTTACAGTAGATACCTTTTATTTGGATTATTTCAACATATCAATAATAAATACATACAGCAAAGAAAAAAGATTAAGTAGATATTTGGGTTATATATAATAAAGAACTTTCAGAGGGCTAAAGATTAGTGAACACATGAAGAAATTTTTCTAATTCTAAAGTTAATCATCAAGTAAGAATAAAGTGACAACATACTACCTACAAATTATGGAACAATGAAAGAATTCAAAAGAAAGCCAAATAAATTCCATTACAAAATATGTGCCTATTGTATCTGTAAGTTCACATATTCTTGCAAAACTTCCAACAAAACTGGGGAAAAAGGTCAATCCAAACAATAGTTATTTCTTAAATTATATATCCTCTGACAATCTTTTGATATTCAAAATGGCTGAAAAACTGGAAGATTAAAATTCTCAAGTATCCTAAGAGTTAAAGGAATTCATACTGAGCCAAATGGTCAGGTAAAAACACTGACTCTTCAATTTTGGCATTCTGAGCTTTTAACGTATGTAGAGAAATAGGATTTCTGCTTATCCTTTTTTTTCCTCCTTGTCTCTTTTCCCTTCTTCCTCTACTGGATGTCACCTTCAGGTAAATATATTTCTTCTGGTTTACAGGCTCTATTAAACAAGAAAATACTTAACATTTCTGTCTCAAGAGAGTCCAAATCTTAGCTGTCTTGCTAACTACATCATAACTATCATCTGCAAGAAGATCTGGAACATATTAGACAATAACTATTTGCTGAGTTGAATGAACCAGTACATTCATAATCCTAACAGAGCAAGAGATGACTAGGAAATGACACATTTATTTTTGATGCTATGAGTAGAAGCATGCTCCACTGTAATGTGACAGATTAGGAAAGATGGGATTTTTAAGTCATTTCAATATATGTAAAACAGATTGAAAGTTCAATATTTGCAGCTTTTAAATTACTCTACACTTGGTCAAAATTCCAACAGTATAAAAGAATGTCCCAACTCTCAGTTTCTGTTCATTCCCCAGTGATTTCAGTCTACCCATGCATGCTTTCAAGCGTTTAATGATAAACCTTAAAAAATGCTTGGCCCTAATCTGGTAATTATTATGTGAATAGGAGAGTTCACATATTCACTTCATTCCATTGCATTTCTGGAATTCATTTCATTTAAAATAAGTGCTTGAATAATTCCATAATTTATTTAGCCACTCTCTCATTAACAGATACGCAAATTTATCCTAAATTTGTTGTTTTTGAAACAATAAGGAAATTTAAAATAATGAATGCACGCCTTTCAGAAGATGTTGGAGGGTTTCTCCTGGACAGATTCTGATACGTGGAATTTCTATGGCACAAGATCTGTACACTGAACACTGAAACAGGCATTACCAAACTGCTTTCTAGAGTGAGCATACCAAGTATCAGTCCTGACTGCCAGGTATGACAAGGTCAGTTTTCTCCTTTTACGTAGCTATACAATTTTCCATTGTATATTTACAATTAATCATGTAACTGATATAATTTCTTAATTTATTGAAAAAGCATTATTTATAGACATTTAATTATTCCTCATACTTTTATCACCAGTTGTAATGAACACCCTCAGCACATTCTTCTGTATTTATGTGTTAATATAATTGCTTGAGCCAAAGAATGTGTTACCTATAATGCTACTTCTAACCATAAATCAGGATTCCAAATATGCAGAAGTCTGTCTTTCGGTTCTCCGTTTCCCTTGGACAATTCACCAATCTCTACACTAATATAATGCTAGCTTACTAGAGTGTATAATAAATCTTAATATGTCATATACTCCCAATGTACAGCATTTCAGAGTATTAGTAGATGCTTGAATGTTTATTTTTAGAAGACAGTGAACAGATTAGAGACAGCACCACACTATTTTTTCATAAAACACACACACACACAAACAAGCAAGCCTCAGAAGTATGTTACTTTGAATCACACACACAGGCAAGAGAACCAAAGGCAGATGTATTTGGAGGGTGGAGTAAGGCAGGATGTGAGGCACAGATTGTGTGGCAGGTTCATGGGTGTTCTTATCACACTTCCTGCTGTACATACAGCACACGTGCTAGCTTTAACAATTCGAAACCTTCCAGAAATCCCTCATAACAATCAGATGCTCTGTTAGAAACACATTTTACTTCCTATCTTAGAATGATGGGCATTAGAAAAAAGAAACTTTTCTGAGGGCATGCGGTGCAAATTCTCAGTGTATGACTAGCAGTCATTGTGCAGCTGCTGCATACATCATCTGATGCATGCACAGAATCAGAATTCTGCAATTTAAAAACAAGGGTATGGATAAGGACAGAAAGTGCAATGATTTCCATTTAATCAGACGTGCTTCTCTCCTCTTGCTCAGGTTAAAAGTTGCCCTGGAATTTCTGCCTGGTTTTGGTTTCAGGCAGCTGCCCAGGCTCATTTCGCATCTCCTACCACACCTCTCCAGAACTTCCTGAAGGCAAGAATCCACCCAATAAACAGGAGTTCAACACTTAGCAGGCAACAAAGTAATACAGTACTCTATGAGAAGGAAGAAGGAAACGGGTAGGTGTGTCACCTTCTAACTTGGTAGGTCCTTAGTGGTGTGGACATGGCATCATGCCTGTGAGGGAATACTGCATCGGCTTTTCTCTTATAGGGATGTCAAATTCCTCTTTCTGAAACAAGCATATCAAATGGATGTTCTTGGCTAATTCCTGAATTTCAACAGTTTTGCTTCATTAGGCATGACCTTATTATCCTTTATTAAGGAAAGACGAATTTTAGTAAATATCCAACGTTTTCTCCTTGAAAATGGGGCTTAATTCTGTATTTGTGGCTTTCACCTCAGAGTGGATCACACATTTGTCCTCTATGACATAATCCTGACAGATATTGTGTCCAGAGTAGTGGTGGCAAATATTTTTGGATGTGGGGTTTAACATTTCTTCACGGTAGTGTAGTTCTAACTGCATTGTTTCCCTCTCAGTTTTGCTGCTTCAACTTATAGATACCGGAAAAAACCACTGGAAATTCTTAAGTCACTGAAATAGATACCTAGATTTTACAAATCTCTTTTCACTCTTTACCAGCTTTTCAGTCTGCTGGCACACTGCTGAAAGCCATTTTAAAGCACACTCTACTTATTCAAAACTGTTGATTTTAACAAGCTTAGCAGGGAAAGAGAATATCTGACTTCCCAAGAAGTTCATGTATTTGATTTACCTTTCCATTAGTGTTTCACACCATAGCAAAAGAAAAAAAGGAAAATAAAACATCTCTTGACTTTAAGCTTTTATTTCATAGTCATCAAAATTCAACATGAAGGATGGTCAATTATAGACACTGGTTTATTTTAATGGTATTATTCATTAAAAACACTGTTCACAACTCCAAACTCCTGACACATAATTTTTTAAATACACACTGCACAGGTATGCATGCACACATGTGTATGCACACACACATAACATACTTTGTACTAATTATGCTTTCATCAGGATCTTTTGAGCTTCTACAAACAAAATATATCAAGAAATATGAAAGTAGTGGGTTTACCTACATCTATGTTACTTTTCCAAACTATACTCCAGCATATTTTAAATCTAAGCTTAAAAATTATTTCACTTTTCAAAAAAGCCAGAATAGATAGCCGGCAAAGACACTGATGGAAAGTGATTCATACCAAATGTTATCAGTTTAGTAATAACAAGTTTTATGGACTCAGTTTTCACAGTGACTAAGAAGTTTTTCCATGGGCATTAAAGAAAGGTCAAACAGGATGATCTGGGACTGAAAGCACACTGGCAGATTTTCCAGCTAACATCATCATACTGGTTAAGAAGGATTATTTACCTTCCAAGAGATATGAAATAGTTCTTCAGTCTTTTATTACTATGCTGTACTTTTTAATCCTATTTGGATAGGAATGGCTCTTTTTCTGACTTTTTTTTTTTTTTTTTGGTTTTTCTCCGGTACCGGGAACCGAACTCACGACCTTGCACTTGCCAGGCAGGCACTTTTGCCGCTGAGCTAAATCCCCAGCCCCTTCTTTTTCTGACTTTATGTTATGTTCTTTGTGCTAACCAAAAATACATCTATTTAAACTGCTATTTTATTTATATGTTTTGAAATTGAAAAGACTCAATTAATCAACTGATCAATCAGTGCATCAATAAAAACATCAAGACTGCCCACAATTTGCATATCAATGCTCTGAGGCCTTGGCAACAATATCTATAACACTGTGCCTGTCTTTAAGAGGTTTGTGATCTCAAAGAAACACCTATTGTAACAAGTAGAGGACAATTAGTGTCTAACACATGTAATAAAGACTGAATCTAAAGAGGACCAGAGAGGGACAGGCGATGGTGGGAGAGCGCAGCAGAGAAAATCAACCCTCGGACTTGAACAGGCTTTCAGCAGTTTGGGAGCCTTTCCTTAGACAAATGTGGAAATGTTTCAGAGAAAGCAGATTAGCAAAAACAAAGACACAGAGCTATTTAGGGACTAAAGAGTAC